TTTTCTTTTTCTTTTTCTTTTTCTTTTTCTTTTTCTTTTCCTGCTTCTGGGCACCTCAAGCTTTACCTTAACTTTTCAGTTTAACAGCTGTAATCAGTGAGTAGACAGCGTTTGCACATGCCTTGGCTTCGGGTGTTTTCTCTGAGGTCTCGCTGGTAATGCTTTCCCCCCCCTCCAGTGTTTCTCTGGGCACTGCGCGAGCGCTGGCTGCCCGTGTCTCTAGAACAGCAGCAAACTTGCGCACAATGAACAGACTCTGGGCACATATTTCCCTGGATCGCCAGTGGCAATCGCAGCCTGTCGGGCGGGAGCGTGTTGGAGATGTCTGTGCGACTCGCTGCGTAATTGCTCAGCGCTGAGCTCAGGCTCGTCCTGTATTTCTACTAGTGGGTAGAAAGTGGGTGGAATTACTACGGTCGGGAATATATTGAGGCACTTCTGCTAGTAAAGAGATCATTTTGATATYGAGTGTTTTCATGAGGAGCAGCATTTGTTTGGATTCAAAGTGTGCAATCTGAGAGCAAGTAACAGGAATGTTATTGGAACAAATAGGCTCTGTTTTTTCGTGCTCTTTTGGTTCTTTCAAAGCTTGACTGCCTGTGTAGCCTAATATCAGGACATGCTTCTCTATCCTCTGCTTTTTCTGAAATATTTGCATATACTTGAGAAAATGATTCAAACGTTTGACCTTCCCTGTAAGGCAGTTCATATTTTTGTGTTTACTGTGGCTGAGTTGCTGCTTTTATTGGCTCTATCCATAATACTGTTCAGTGCAGTTACCACAAATTCAGTCGCAAGAGAGCGAGAAGAGGCCAGGGAGAACTTCACCTTCTCTAAGCAATTCCAGACTACCACCACCATCGAGTTCAAACTCCTGTCGACTGCTTCACACCAGGGGCAGAGCAGACCTCCCCCGGCAACTTGCCCGGCTCCAGAAGTTGTGCGTTAAGCTGTTACGTGAGGCAGGTGAGCTGGGCAAAAGCCATAGGCAGAGAGCAGCCATCAGCTGCAAAGTGATCGGTGATGGGTGCCAGGTGGGAGCAGCGGCAGCGCCCGGTGCCGCCCGCGCTGCTGTGCGCRGAGCGGCCGCGCTGTCCGTGCCCGTCTCGCCGGGGCTGCGGCCTGTGCGGCTCCCGCCCGGGAACAGGCAGGTTTCCTCTCGCCATTCCCGCTGGAGCAGCCGGACGGCCGATGCTGGCCGCTTCCGCGAGAGGGCTCGCGCTGCGGCTGCTCCCGTGCAGCCGGTGCCGCTCCCGCCGCTTGCCCTGGGCCCGGGCCAGCAGGATGGGCCCCAGGAGGCCGTTGTTGCTACGCAGGTATCTGCCATTTCCTTTGTAAATTGTGGGGAAATCTCTTTTTTCCCTCTAGGGCGTAAAGATAAGACATCCTGGGAAAATCACCTCGCTTCTGGTCCTGCTTAAAAACTCGGAACAAATCTCAGCAACTTGATCTGCTGGAGGGGAAAGCAGGAGCTGCCGAGCGCCTTCCCACAGGAGCGGGCTGTTAGTGCTGTGTCCCGTCCCGTGCTGGTGGCCACAACCGCCCCTCTCCCGGCACGATCCCGCTCGTGGTGGCTGGGTGCTGCTCGGGGTGGCGTGGGCAGCGGGGCAGCATGGGCGCACACCAAGAAGCCAAGCTGTCCTCGGCTCCTTGGCCCAGTTGTTTGCGCGCTGGGCCCAGTTGCCTGTGTGCTGAGGCCAGSGGTGCGGGCAGCGCTGCGGGTCTGCCCCGCAAGGCAGAGGTGCTGCCCGTGCCCAGGGGTAGCACGGCGGCTCGTGCAGCGCGAGCCACGTCTGTGACCGGGGCTCCAGCGTGTCCTCCGCTCTTGGAGGTGCCAGGTTGACGGCTCGGTCAGGCTCAGCCTTCGGCACTGAACGCGTGGGCTGCTGGCACTGAGGGGCCTGTGCTGCCCTGGGGCTGGCGTTTCCCTCGCGGCACCTTGTATTTTCCCTTAATCTATCCCAGGCTGAATACTCGGCGCGGCTGAAGCGGAGCCATCTCATACTTTGGTGTGTGTTTATTGGCTGTAGCTTCCCATTCCCTTGACTTTTTTTCAAAGTTGCCTCCCTTCCCTTTCTCCTCCATCAACAACAACAAAAAAAGAGCTAGAGCAGAGGAGGTAAAAGTGAATCAAATGGCTGAGTGTTTTTGTGAATGGGTTTGCTTTCCTTCCCCTCGCTGCCTCCTCCTCRCTGCCTTCTGTAAAGAGTCCTCCGTGCTTAAAATATTATGACTTTCCTTATGGTAGCCCTTCACTTGTGGCAAGGATCCCAATTTGACGTCAATGAAAAACTACTAGTTTCTGGCATAAGGGTAAATGACATTTCATCAGCAATCGCATGCCCATTTTTTTTTCTTCTCCCTCTCTCTCTCCCTCTCTCTCTCTCTCTCTCTTTTTTTTTTTTTTTTTTTAATATCACAGTGCTAAGACCATATGGGCAGATAATGAGTTTAAGCTGATAAACAGCTTACAGATTTGCCCAAATAAAGAACTTTCTTCCTAGAAGACATGTTTTCCTTTAAAATAAATAATGCAGTTCCTGTGTTTTTATTTAATTATCTCCTGTCCTGGCTGGTCTCGGCAGGCTGCAAGAAAACAGGCACAACTGCTCTGGGAACACGAGCTACTGGATTTATGGGGCCACTGGTCTTAGCTGAGGAAGGACTTGAAGCTAGGAGTTTGGATGCCAGAAAACTGCTTGAAATACCTAGATAAGCAGATGGCAGCCCCAGTTGTGTCCAGGGAGTTTTGTGAGGTACTGCGTAGCTCTTGACATCTTGAGGATGAGTTGCTGCATGGGATGCGACTAGGTCCAAGGTTTGGATGGGAGCTGTAATTAAAACAGGCTGAATCCTTGTTTCAGACTTCACTGGTCTCTTCTTTCTTTAAGTATTTACTCAGATGTTGGTTCAGATTTGGAAGGATCAAGGGTTGAATAGGGCTGATAGAATGTAATGGAAAAATTTTTGGATCCATTTTCATTGTTGTTTTCCCAGAAAATGATGGTCTGGAAGTCGGGATCTTTAGCTGTCAGTTTTAAAGAATAAATCCATACCGCTGGCATGGGAAAGGCACAGCCTGTGCTTGCACCCCAAGGTGCAGAGGAACGAGCTGTTCTGGGCTGGCAATCACAGATACTCCTTTAAGCTATTTCATTGCCTCTTTATTAGGAGTTCTTGGTTTTGTCCTTTTTAAACTTTTTCTTTGAAATGATCTCTTCATTTGCTATTTAGAGTTAAGTTTGGTAATAAAAAGGTTGTGCAGAATAGTCAGTCCAGACTATTATGTTCTTTCTCATGATACTCATTCCTTGTAAAATTGCCTTGAGTATCTTGTGTTGTCCGTTCCCTGTCCTCCCACTGCTTCTCAGTGCTGAGAAAATTGCAGGATTTTGATTGTACTTCACATGAGGATATGTTCCAGAGGTGTAGACCTCAGTTTTCTGGTGGCTGCTGCTATCTCATTGTGAGATGACAGCAGAGATGTGTTCAGTCCTGCTGCTGCTTGGGACTGCACAGTTCAGAAATACGTCTGTTCTTCCCCACACACCAGTGTCTCATTTCTTTTCACTTTGCTTGTGAAGTTTTGATTTTCTGAAATGATGAATGCTTTATCCTGCACCTTAGTTTCAGTTTTAAATGAAGTTAGTGCCCACGAAATACTTGATGGGACTAAGGTTTTTTTGTTGGTGGCGGGTTTTTTATGTTGTTGTTGTTGTTGTTTTGTTTTTTGTTTTTTTTTTCCTCCAACCTCTGGTCCTGGAACATTTAGCTTCCACTTACCTATGCGTCATTATTGCATTGGTAAAGAGCTCTCATGGGCTACTTTAGTATAAATTGTGTGAGACTGAAAGAAGTGACCTTAGAAAGTAGGTGCCTTATTTTGTTAACCTCTGATGCTAAGCCAGTTTACCAGCTTTCCCCCCCTGCCCCTTTACTGGGATAAAATCTAAAGAAACAAATGATTACAGATGACTTACCCTTACAAATTGACCCTAAGTGGGACTTGCTTCTGCACCTCTGTTCTCCAAGAATGTGCTCTCAAGCATGTTCAAGAGACAAGCTTGACCATGTAGGCGAAAATACCTTGCTGCCACGTCAGGGCTACTAAGATCCTGTGGAGAGGTTCCCTGTTTCTGTGTAGGTGCCTCTGACAAGGATGCTCGGGGACTGGTGTCCCTTGGGGTTCTCGCCTTCTGGTTTGGCTATTAGGATGTTCTCTTGCTACATATTTAATAAATTCTCCTGTCCTGAGATGTCTTTTTTTTTCCAGCTTGATAGATAAATTGAAAGGTCACTGTAGAAGAATTAATTATTTAATCTAGATGAAATTCATTTTTCTTTGAACAATCTGTCCCTTCAGGGACAGACAGCGGCTGCTTTGATGACATTTGGGCGCTGAAAGTGCATCCTGTGCATGGTATTCCTTGGCTTTGGGTAATTAGAGCCAAGGGGCTCCATGGTWTTGTGAAACTGGGCTCTGGCCTGCGTTGTCCCAGCTCAACCACTGACTGACTTACTGAATTTAGTTGGTTTATCTCTCTATTTCTGACTTCTTGCTTGATTA